TTAGGACGATTCTAAGGGCCCGTGAATGCCAGGGGCCCAAACAATTTTAAAACATTAAGAAAAAAATGTTTAAGTAACCAATGTGATATCTTTTCGTGGGGCCCAAAATCCCTGGCGGCGCCCCTGCATGCTAATACTGTATTGCTAATTTTATTTCCATAGGTGCAATATTTTACTGGTCGCAATTTCCTTTGGCCAATTGGAAAGTGATAAGGCAAATTGTTGAAGTGAAATGCAAGGGAGTATTTACTTTAATTCTCAACACCAAGGCATTAGTCCTGAAACATTTTAACTTTTTGATCCTCTTGAAGATCCAATAGAGCCTGATTTTGGTGAACATTTATTAGAGTAAATGTTTCTACAATCTTTGTTTTATTTACTTTCTTATTTACACTTTTTCTGAATATTGACTGTATTTTGTTTGAGCCCAGAAATGTTCTGTTCTTTGATTTACTAAAAGTAAAATTATTTATTGTGTTGCATTAAGGTCTTAATGTCTTAGAAAGGTTGTATTGAAATACAAGCTGTACATGTATTGCAGGTGAATCCTGTGTAAGCTGAGCTCACCAAATATTCTATTACTTTTAATACCACCAGTTCTACACCCACAAAGAAGACATTAAATACATTATTTTAATATTTACAGCTGTAACATGGGACAGGTCTGCTTTAAAGGTTAGTCCAGTTCTGGTTGATAAAGTGCCCGTAGTATATTCTGCCAGTACAGACAGATTTCACAACAGAAACGGAGTCACATAGGGAGGAATGTGTGTTCAAATTGTGCAAATATTGCAAAACATTCTCTGCAGTGAAAACAGTCAAAGGTTATCTAGCTTTTATCTAAATCACGATGGGCTTGAACATTTGGTTATTCAGCGCGTGATATGAAATCCTGTGGGAAAACACTGACTGTAAAGAGCAGCCACTGCGCTCATTATTTCTTATCTGTAATACGGTGTAAAATAATCATAATGGTGGTGATTTCTGTTATGGGAGTTGTTTCGACTAGCAGCCAGAGTCAGTGAAGTGTCTTTTGTATTGCCTCTTGTCTCTACATGATCTGTCACCCTCATGTACCTTCAGTGTCATTTGAGTGAAGCTAGGCCCAGTTTGTGTCTTTCAGCATTAAGCAACAGTTTCTATAAAGCTTCCAACATTACTAATGAAGCTCAGCGCAAGTTCAACCAGGAAGACCTTCTTTTCTCATTAATTTACTATGTCTATGATATACTCTCTCTCCCCTCAATAAGTGATCGGGGGCGTCACTCCCCAGCTTAACCAATCACTTCGCTCTATTCCCACAAGCCTATCATAGCGCTCCGCTAAACCTTTAAAATCTGCTCTCCCCCCTCTGACAGCCGTCATTTCAGGTTACTCGTCGCAACCCTCCTCCCCCCCTTTTCACCTCCTGTCCCTCTGAACCCAGGGTCAAGCTAAGCCACTCCTCTTCAGACCGACCCCAATCATCCATTCACCACCACCAGTGTCTCTAGACCCCAGGGGGGGGGGTTTCATCGGATCGGTTCTCCCCTCCCGAATGATACTCCTGCACAACGGGGCCTAATCGCCAAAACTCCATTACATTCATTTGTGTATTCCTGGCAACAAATATTACATCAAAACCGTCTCTCCTGATTGAACTGATGTTCTGAAGATATTTCCAGAATCTTTAAACACTGTTGAAATGATTCGAATAAAGAAAATATTACATCTGTTACATGAAAGAAACTGAACTTTTCTGGTTTCAATTATATTGTATCCTGGCAGACATATCTCCTTTTTTACAATAAAAAACCAAACATGTTTTGCATGAAAATACAAATACTTCAGTTACAAATTAATAATCTTATTTCGGCATTCAGCAGAAAGAATATATTTTCCAGATGGGGAGCAGAGTGTTTAATTATTCAGGAAAGACCTTCAGAACTGCTATACATGTTGTTAAATAACCTTTTAGGTTTTGGAAATATCACAAGGGAAATTTTTTTAATTAATTATTTTAGAAAAAACTGATGCTTAGCCCCTCGAAGGTCCACAAAGTGTTTTTCTGGGATACTTCTCGCATAGTATTTTGAGTTGTGCATTACATTTAGAGTGCCTCTGAACCACAGAGACATTCTGAGCTGCATTATGATATACATACAGTTGAGGCCAAAATTATTAGCCCCCCAGGAGTTATGGAAGATTTTCCTAAAATTCTTCCCAATGTTTGCAGCATTGATAAAACTTGATATAATCAAACATTCACCAGTGCTATTTAGTAGCTTTTGGTACATTTGGGAACATAAAATAAGTTTTTAGTCTTGCGAAAGTGAAAAATGGGTTGGTCAAAAATATTAGCCCCCATGTGAATGTTTGCTTTCAAACCAAACCTAATCAATCAACCAACTTTCAAACCACACCTAATCAACCAATCAGCTTTCAAGCCACACCTGGGCATTCAATCGGCATAAAAGGACTCCAAGAAACAGGCACTTGAATACCTTATTGAGAGGGACTATACTACTACTCCTACTCACCATGCCAAAGACAAAGGAAATCAGTCTTGAGCTCAGAAAAAAGATAGTGGAGGCTCATGATAAGGGGGAAGGCTATACTGCTATTTCCAAGTGCTTCACAGTGTCTAGAACTGCTGTGCGTTGCATCATTGCGAAGTACAAGGAGACACATCATGTAAGAAACAAACCTGGGCGTGGTCTAAAGTGCAAGATATCAAGAACTCTAGAGAGGAAAATAGTCAGAGATGTCAGCAAGAATCCCCGGACATCTGCCAAGATGATTGTTGCTGACCTGGCCTCTTCTGGAGTTGATGTTTCAAGGAACACAGTTGTGAGAGCTCTTCATCGTGGTGGGCTTCAGGGCCATCGTCCCAGAAGAACCCCTTTACTCAAAGAGTGGCACATCAGAGCCAGACTGAGGTTTGCCCGTGAACATTTGGAAGGTAAAGATGAGTTTTGGAAGTCTGTGCTTTGGTCTGATGAGACTAAACTGGAACTGTTTGGGCACATGGATGTTGCTTATGTTTGGCGAAGAAAGGGAGAGGCCTTCAACCCTAAGAACGCAGTTCCCACAGTTAAACATGGTGGTGGGAGCATCATACTGTGGGGCTGTTTTGCAGCCTCAGGCACAGGGAGCCTTGTTCGGGTGCAAGGCATCATGAAAAAATAAAATTATCTTGACATTTTGAGGGATAACATGAAAAAATCTGCTCTTAGTCTTCGCTGGGTCTTCCAACAAGACAATGACCCAAAAGCACACATCAAAATTGGTTCAACAGTTCCTAAAGGACACCAAAACCAAGGTGCTGGTTTGGCCCGCACATAGCCCAGATCGGAATCCTATTGAGAATCTGTGGAGGGTGCTCAAAGTGAATGTCCATGCTCGGAAACCACGCAATTTGGACCAGCTGGAACAATTTGCAATGGAAGAATGGGCCAACATCCCTCAAGAGGCCTTTGCCAACCTAGTAAAGAACTACTCTTATGGCGCGTTTCCACTGCAGCGGGTAGCTCGCTTTAAGTGTGTCGAGCCGTGCGGGGCCCGTTTTTGGTTGCGTTTCCACTTGGCCTAGTACCGGCTAGCGGGTCCTAATTCACAGTTTTTCTGGCCCCATAACATCGTGGTTCTAGGGCCAGGAACAACCAGGCTGAGTCGGGCTGAGTATGCTAAACTAGAGAGAGAATCGCTGGCATGAATTAATGCTTTGACAAGTCTGCAGACAGACGGCAGAGAAACACCTTTTAAAATGCGTGTTTTCTAAATGGAGCTTGGCTAAGCTAACATTATATATGCTCCGACCGTCCACACTCACAACAACGGCCTATACAGACATAAATAAACCAGCGACTGTATTCGCCATGACACAGGCAGTCTGTGGTTTGTACTTGTTTAACTTCTGTCTAGTTTCTGAACAGATGTAGCTGTGAGCTCTGAGTGCTAAGAGCTAACGGCTGATGTTGTTTTTCTGAAGATGACGTCACGGCTCCGGCTACACTGCGTTACTATAGTAACTACCCCAGTTCCTAAACTGTAATGGAAGCGCAGCATTAAAGTGAGCCGGGCCTAATAAGGCCTAACCAACCGAGCAAGGCCGAGTGAGGCCTGCAGTGGAAACGCGCCATAAGAGGTTGTTGTCAGTTGTGGCTCAGAAAAGGTACACTATTGACTATTAATGGCCAGGGGGCTAATCATTTTGGACGTGTCATTTTTGCCGTTTCAACTCAGTGCATCAATAAAATATCCTAATCAAACTTGGTGGACATGTTGTCTTTATTATTTTGGAAACAAATACACTATAAACACTTGTTGTTAATGGTGATTTCCATGTAGAAATCAAGGGTTTTGTCTGATTTCAGAAGGGGGGCTAATCATTTTGGCCTCAACTGTATAAGGTTAATTTAGACAGAGTGTAGCTGTGATGCTGACTTTAGCTTTAGGATGGTGCTGTGATGCAGCAGTAGTCTGAGCATTTACCACAGCTTCACCCTGCACAACAGAACAGCTGCAGCTGTGCTCACAGCCAGTGGCACTACACTGTCGGCCTTTTCAATTGAGTAATGAGCAATAAATGCCTCATATAAAACGTTACATTGTCCCTCCTTTCTCTATAATCTGCAGAGCATTCTCCTAAACTAGCAGTATATTGTAACTGGCCTGATATGACACAGTAGCTGTTTCTATGAATCAGGGTGGAAGCAAACTATAAAAGTTCAGGAAAATATTTCGACCATGTGCTCAGAAGCATTGTGACTAATGCATGAGTCGTACAAACTAGGGTTAGGTTGAATTGTCATTGTTTCTTACACATTTACTTGCACATGGGTCACTTTCAACACTCTCTTGCACTATTTTATTTCTATTCGGTTTATTTTCTAACTATTTGTATTGTTTTATGTCTTATATATATTTATGTTGCATTGTTGAAGGAGCCTTGGACTCAAGTTTTTCATTGCCAAAATACACCAAAGCTATATGACAACAAAACCTGAATCTGTTCTTACCGGGAAGCAGCGATTTCTGCCTTCTGCTTGCCGATGGCAGCGGCCCTCTGAGCGCCCTCCACCGCCCGCTCCACCTTCTGCTTGATCTTGGTTCCCTTCAGCTGGATCATCCTCTTCTTCACGGCCTTCACCAGCAGGTTGTTCATGTACTTGCCTTCCTCCTTCCCTCCCTCGGCGAAGGTGGTGCAGCCGTAACCGTGTCTCTGGTTGTTCATCCACTCGCCCTCGTACTTCAGCCCGCTGGACCTTTCGCTTATTCCATATCCCGAGCGCTTGTCGTTCTTCCACTCGCCCATGTAGACCTCAGTGGTGGTGGCGTCGATGTCGGCCTCCACCGGGGGGAAATCCTCCGCCCCGGCGAGGCTGTCGTCCCCGATGCTGATGGTGGAGTGGGTGTCGCTGGCGTTGGAGCTCAGAGCCGATTCGGTCCTCAGGAAGCTGATCTTGCTCTTCTGGCTGGACAGCGAGGTACTTGACTCGGACTTCTTCAGCTTACCCAGCAGCGAGCCTCTTCGAAACAGGCCCTTCTTCTTGGGTTTCACCGCCTCTGGGTCCACCTGGAGCGTGAGGGCGAAGCCTCCACGGGACGGTCCCAGCTGGGTGGGGGTGGTGACGTGTGTCTCCTCTCCTGAGGCGTTGGTGGTGGTGATGACGGGGATGTCTTGCTGTAGGACGGTGCCATTGCTGTGTTCGCTGCGAAGGGAGGTCAGGGAGGTACGAAGAGGGGAGCGGACAACTGCTGCCATGCCATAAGGGACACTCTGCCGTACGCCATAGCCATGCCGCATCCCACCTGTGAACTGACCCTGGAAAGTACCTGGAAACATCAGAAAACAGGAAGTTATACTTTTCTACCTGCAACACAGACCAGGATACTTTTTACAGCAATGTCTGTCTCTGAGTTGCTTTTCACACCTCTTCGGTCCATACTGAAATATCTCAACAACTATGAGATGAATTGCCATGAAATTTGGTAGAAACATTCACTAAACCCAGGGGATGAATCGTGATAATTTTGGTGATCCTCTGACTCGTTTTCTACCGCCACCAGCAAGTCAAAGTTGAAATCTACTGGACGGATTGGCGTAACATTTCTATGGTTTTCTAGATAGTATAACAAACTTTGGCTTTTCATCTAGTGCAATCATCAGGACACATTTTCTATTAGTTCAGGACATTTCCATTAGCCTCAACTGTACTTTGTTAGGTGCAAATTAGCAAATGTTAGCATGCTAACATGCTAAACTAAGATGGGTAACAGGGTAATTATTATGCCTGTTAGCATTGTTGTTATGAGCATGTTAGCATTGTAATTGTGAGTATGTTAGCATGCTAATGTTAACATTTAGCCTACAGCGTCGTTAAGCTGCTAGCTTGGCTGTAGACTTTTAAACATGGCTTGGAGCTAAAATAGTTCACTCCATATAAAACTGCCCTTCCTTTATTTCTGCCCGCATGTCATGGATATCTCTAGTGTGAAAAGTTCATTAATGCTCTTACTGAAAAGTCATCTTGAGGTCTGCTCTCATGCTATAATTGACATGAGTGTGGATTATAGTGACAGCTAGGCCTCAGCTGAGGGGCCAGGAGGGGCTATTATTACATCCTGACATGTGGCGCTATCACATCCCCCCTCGACTTCCAGCAGGCTGGACTTCAAAGCTGATGAGTCAGCTGGCAAAGAGGGGAACCACTGATACCTTACAAGCAGAGATCACTGCGATCAATGTGATATTCTCACCTATTTAGTTTCCTCTACAATAAATGAATGTGCTGGGGGATATCATTGCACCAGAAGCTTTGAGAGAATATCGAAGGATTAAAAACTCAAGGCGACTTTCGATGTTCAGGATTGTTTGTAATGACACCTAAGGTTATCTATGATTGGATGTTATCTAGTCTGCCTATTAAAAACAGTTAATTCAGTGTTTGAAATCGAAGAAATACATTTACTCAAGTACCATTTTTAAGGTACTTTACAGCGCTGGACTGCAGAGCCCTGTCCCTGCAGATTGAAATCTAAATATTGTACTCCAGAGGATAAGCAGTATATAAGAGTTATGGGCCGTTGCACCAGCTACAGTACTTCCCTATATTTTAGAGTTAATTGTTGTACGTTTAAATTCACTACATTCATCTCATTGTATAGTTAAAAGTAATTTTTCCAGATTCTGGTATAATATGCACAACAAGAACTGATTAGAGCGTAAAATATTATATTATTTTTTATGGACTTGACACGAGTCCATAAAACACATACCTAGCCTACTGTACGTACGTAGTCAATCGTATCTTAAACAACATGAACGTTCTGCTAATCAGTTGCCTAATTGTTAGTTAGTTATCTATAACAAGACGCAAATAACTCAAAAAAGGTGCCATGTTTCTGCATAATCAGTACTTCCACATCATTAAGATAAAGATAGTTCAAGTAGAGTTTTGAACATAGAGCCTCTTCTAGTGACAGATTGTTTCTACATGTCAGGATTCCTACTTTTACTTCAGTAAATGTTTTCCACCACTGGTGTTGACGGTGTAGTTTAACGAAATGGAAAGAATCCTGCAGGGTTTGATTTCCTGCGAGCTCTTCTTGACTGACAGCAGCAGGGAGATATTTTCTTCTGGTTACGCACAGACATCACAAACGAACATGAGGATCACAGACTGTTCTGTTTGTAATATGTCTGCACATCGCCTGCAATGAACTTGGTGCATTCGACCAATTGGCCACACTTAGCTTGAGGGGTCTTAATGTTGCATGACTTAGTTATCAGGATTTAGTTACAGTACTTTTACATTAACCACACTTAGTGTAACTCAGTAGGGGAACATATATGTTTACATGAGCACTGTACTTACACAAACACTTTTGATTCCTTTTTTACTTCTGTATATTTACTCCGTTACTTTATTCATTTGACTTCACTACATTTATCGGACAGGTGTTCTTTGCAGGTTTGACATAACTTCTGATCAACAAGGACATATATTGCTATATTGGTTTAGGTATAGTAATTGGGAGTATTTAGGAGTCAGTTATACTAAAGTAAATGATCTCAATGCTTCCTACCATTGCACAGGTCTGCAGCTGCAAATGTATGCAACGTCTATGTAAGTAGTGGAGAGTAACTACATACATTTACTTTAGTATTAAGTACTTATAAATGTTATTTGAATTTATATTTGCTACTACTACTTCATTCTTCTACAACACTTCAGAGGCAGACATTGTATTTTTTATTCCCCTAAATGTATTTGATATCAGCCTGGTATGGGAACTGCACAATGCTCAACAGGAAGGCATTGCAGAGGGTGACGAAAATCGCCCAACGCATAATCAGTGTCCCACTCCCTGCCATCGAGGACATCCAGGGGATACGGTGTTTGCTGAGGGCGCACAACATCTTCAAAGACACTTCTCATCCTGCAAACTATCTGTTCGTCCTCCTACCCTCGGGGAGGCGCCTCAGGAGCCTCCGGTCCAAGACCAGCAGGTTCAGGGTCAGCTTCTTCCCCAGGGCTGTTACCCTGCTGAACTCTGCCCGCTGATAGACTCAAGCCCATACCCACCACCCACCTGTTTATATATTTTACTGTCAATGCCGTTTACACTGTATATATTCATCTGTTTATAGCCTATTTATAATTATTCTATTTATAAAAATTCCATGTATTATTATTCTTATTATGTAGACTCCTGCACTTCTATTTTGCACTTCTGGTCAGATGCCTAAACTTACATTTCGTCACTAGTACATGTACTATGTAATGACAATAAAGTTGAATCTGAATCTGAATCTGATCTCGTACTTTTTAAATTGAGAATGTAAAAATATTGCCATAAAATAAAAGCCCATTTATTTAACTAGCTGCCAATCAGTATGGTATATAAAGTACTAATTTCAATGATTAAATAAAAAGATAATGTAATTCATTTAATTGTAACAGTTTGTAAAAATGTGTTCCACTCCACCTTAATTATGCAAATAATTACTTAGTTTGTTAATTTACATTTTGCATGCAGAACTTTCACTTGTCATTAAGTATTTTTACATTTTAGAAGCCCTGTCATCACTTTTAAGTATGTTCTTCACTGGTGTAATCCACTCCTCTACATTTCAGAGGGAGTAACGACTTCTGTCGCACTATAACAACGTTTTGAATCTCACCTCCATCAGCATATGTCTCTGTTCCATATCCATCCTGTAGCCCATTATTCCAAGTCCCTTCATACTTTGCTCCACTGCCCACACTGATCCGGATGCCATATCTCCCTTTGAAGCCATGAGTCCATTCCCCTTTGTAAATCCAGTGTCCTTTGGTTTCTACTCCCAGGCCGTGACGCTTGCCCTGCGACCAGTACCCCTCATAGGTGTTTCCACTGGGCCAGGTGTAGACCCCCACCACCTCGAAACCGTAGTTCCAGGATCCGGAGAACTCGCCCTGGCCTTTGGGTCCGGTGCAGATGCCATGGCCGTGGGCTTTCCCCCCCTCCCAGCCTCCACAATAAGCCCCACCGTCGTCAAACTCAAAGCGACCTCCACTCATGCCTCACCCGAAGTGCGCAGCGATCAGAAAGTAAAGTGTGTAGTCTGTTTCGTGGCTAAAGATACCGTCAGTCTGACTTCACCTTCACCTGACATCAAAACCGTCTGCAGATATCTTTGGTGCTGAACTTAAGGGAGTTTCTTCTCTTGGAGTTGGTTTGGGTAGTTTTACGTGTCCATTAAGCTCCGGGACGCACTTCTTCATACAAACTTCAATGTGTCCTCTTTTACTCCAGTGTCTTCTTAGGTCAATCTTCTGTGTTGCAAATTTGGATGATAAATCGAATTATTTTCTTCTGTCTTGACAAGCCACTGATCTTACATGGCTTTTTCCAGGGGGCCACAGAGAAAAGCCCCTTTCCCCTGTCCCTGCCACCCAGCTATCTCCTGACAGTCGCTGCTGTTGGGAAATATTTCAGCAGACCTAACAAGGCGACCAATCCACACACACACACCCTTCCAAAAATACAACCCAATCCTTACTCTGCTGCCTGCAAGGAGCCATGCCAGAGTCTTGCCACCTCGGGGCTGAAGTATACATGCCATTCAGGACTCAGCTCTCTTTACATTTTCCCTACAGTTAATGCAGTAATTATTCTCTAATAGGCTATTAAGCTTGACGAAAGGGCTGAGTGAAAGTATAGATCTCTGTAATTTCACATTGATTTCCCTGCCTGGTCTCATAGATCTTATAATAATATTTCTATATTATGAAATTACAACCTGTTCGTCTGTTATTAAAACCTTATTTTAACCCTGTATTCAAGGGTTACTTATATATATATATGATTATGAAAATATATAGATTTACTCATGGTTCAGTCCTATGTCATTATTGACCTATAGTGTGATTTATATATTGTTTAATTATAGAATCTGAATACATCAATATATTTTCATAATCAGTCAGATTTATTATTATTATTATTATTATTATTATTATTATTATTATTTTTGCTGGGTAATTGCATGAGCCTAATTGCAAAATATACAACTTACTGCCAATATGTCAATTAATAATGGTTTATTTCCATTTTCCATTGCAACCTTATTAAATGTACCAACAGTATGACTTAATGTTTGCATTATGGGATGTATCAGAAATGTTTTGTAGGCTATTTCAATCTTTTTACTCCCCCTGCTGGGGAATACATGTAACTGCATCATATCTTTTCATTTAATTAGGAATACATAAATGGGAAGAAATTACAACTTGTTTTTACATTTATTGCTATTTTTTGTATAGTCAGTCAAACTTGCACACGTAAAAAACGTTACTTTAAAAAATATATAAATGTAAAAAAACTGTATTGGTTCTTCTAAGAATCCCTTATAAACGGCCTAAAGGTGCTTTTAGCAGGTATTAATATGCTTACATTGTCAAAATGTTGTATGTTACTATTATTTATAAAGAACATTTTATTGCATTTTTCTGACTGGTGGAGGTGGAGCTATTTTTCCTGCTTTATATATTAATTCAGAAGAATGAAGCAGGTACAAGTAGGTTATGATTAAAAGTAGGATACTTTCATCACAGAAATGATGGACATTTATGTTCCAAATTGGAACATAACACTTTTGCTTTTTTGTTATTTTTCTCCAGTTGTAGCGTTACTTGTTAAACGATGTGACCCATAGTCTTCTGCTAGCCTGCATGTCCTTTCAGAGAGCAACTTGACCTTCCACCGAAACCTCGGTGAGATGCACCGCGCATGTTTGTGCATCATGTGATGTCACACGGTTACACATTGATTTACTGTTGGTGCAGCAGCATGCTCGTGTAAGAAGCTATTTACATATGGATTTGTTTTTAATGATTTGGGTCTGTATTCATTTCGAAGTGCAGGCGGTCTCAGCACCGGAGCTGTCCGAACCTGGCGGTGTTGCGTGAACAGACGATGCTGAGCGGCTGAAATCCTCCCTCTCTTTCTATCTCTGTTTCTCTCTCTCTCTCCTCTTCTCTCCCTCCTCCCCCTCCTCCTACTCGCTCCTCTCCTCTCTCCACACGCACAAAACGCTCTGTCATGGCGTCTTCCAACCATGTTACCCCCACCAACTGTAGCTGGTGGCCCATTTCAGCCATGGACGAAGACGACAAAATCACAGACGGGGAGGAGAGCGAGGAACCGACGGCAGAGCCCAAACCCTTCAACAAAGACAGGCTCGTTTTGTACCACTGGACGCAGTCTTTCACCTCCCAAAAGGTAAGGGGAAAGGAGGGAGAGCTGTGCATGAAAATGGAGGTGGATCCACGTCCCTTTGCATGATGCTCCAGCTTGCAGCTCCTTGTGTGTGTGTTTGTTATGATCCAAACATGTTTTCCTGTGCATGTGTATTCCTGCACACCCCTACGGAATATGAGCGTGACCATGCAGCTGGGCAGATCTCCCGTTTGGGAAAACGCTGCAGCATGGGGGCTCATCTCCTCCACATATAGCAGAATAAGTGATCGATATTATGTTTATTTACCCCTGCATGAACCACCCCTCTATATCTCATTAGCTCCAATGACACGTTGAAGATGTGTCTCCTCAGAGCTGGTGAATGTGGCTACTACCCATAGGTGCTCTGACACATGCCATCCTAAATAATTGATTCAAATGATGTGCAAAACAAACCAAAGGCCATCTCCCCCCTTCTGCATCCCAACCATAGTATGTGTTGTTATTTAAGGGCTTAGTTGGGTCTACCTTTGGTTAGTGTAGCAGACTTTCATATTACAGTGTGTGGTCTATTCAAAACAACGAAAGCATTATTATCCACAGGACTTTCATTGCATTTCAAACCTTTATTTAGACAGATAAATCCCATTGAGATCATTGATCTCTTTTTCAAGGGAGACCTGCTCAAGTAGTTCCACATGAAACATAAAAACATAAATAGAACAACAAAAGGACATCATACAGCATCATTTACATTATTTTGAATTCACAAGCAGCATAGGATATATATATTAAAGAGGAATTTCCACCTATTTTACATATACAATTCAGTAACGTAAAGTACCACTACTATCATGGATAGTAGTACACAAAGCATCTACTGTTGCATGCATTATGCATAAATTGAGTACACTACTTTGTCCAAACATGGCGTATTGAACTTTGACCTATTGCTCATATATCTGATGCCCAAAAATGCGTGGGTTCAGACAAGCATGCAAGCAAATACTGCAAAATGTGACCGGGTGCACAAGGATATCCTGGTATTTCTGTCATACTGCAGGTGACATACCAAATATTTTTCCTGGAATACAATGCATGTTTCTGATTGGATGTGGCGTTTGAGAGACATGATATTAACCAGAGAGAAAGGGTCTAATAGAGAGTCAAAGTAGCTGATGGTGAGCCCAAAGTATCCTTATATAACTCAAACTAAAATATATTCCTATTTCTGGTGTTCTCCTACAAATGTCTAGCCACACCTGTCAAATTACGCGAGTTACGAGTTTTCAAAAATAATCTTCCGTCTCTACAGGAAACAACTTGTCATTTAGGCTTGGTTTAGGCAGCGAAATAAATTGGTGAGGTTTAGGAATTTTAAATAACTACGGATGTGACGTCACTCGGCCATGTGAGATATAACCAAGTTCTGGTTTCACACAGGACACAAATAGTGGTGTTTTTGGACCCGTGCATCAACCCAATCATCCACCATGATCTCCTCCAATTGCAGACTGTGTTGCTCTTTACACTTCCTGGTACAGTCACGAGAATACATATGTATTGATATTGTTGGATATACACAAATTACATTTCAATGGTATAGCTTCAAACAGTATACGAGAGCAGCCTGAACAGAGAACAGACTTCGAAACAGTAAACTCAAACTGGGGTTGTAGGATTTAAAGATGTCATACATGACATTTGAGGGTTTAGTGCCGAAGACCCGACATCAGGTCCCGTGTAATGTCTCCAGCTTCAAAAAGTCAATGTTTTTTCTCTTCAGCATTTTTATTTCATTATCATGTTCATTGCCAATACAAGCGGGCACTACTCCACTACAGCAGTTGCTAATAGTAACTAAAGATCTTTGTCATTTCATTCATTATCGCAATAGTTACATTTTGTATGCAGAAATAGTATATGCAGGTCCGTCTCTTGCAAATGAGGATTTCTTGTTTGTCTTTTGTGGTTCAAACTAATATAAATAGGCTATGTTCCCATTTTGGACTTTGGAGTTTGTCAAATAAAACAAGCAGTTTAAAAAGGTCACTGTGGGCTCTGGGAAGTTGTCATTTCTCACACACTACATAGACTAAACTATTAATAGAGAAAATAATGAGCAGACTAATCAATAATGAAAATAACAGTTGTTGCCCTGGTGATCAGACACATGTCAGCTGGCCTCCCTTATTGGATCATGTTTGATAAAGGTACCTTAAATTCAGGTGCTGCTCCGTGTTTGGTAAGTGCCACACATGTGTGGTAGCGCTGCACTAAATATCTGCAGTACCGCTTTAAAAGAAAGTGCACATTCACCGTTATGAAATGACAGTTGGTGCTGCATCTCTTGTTCATTGACCTCCATCTGTGCCTTATGTTTACACATCAATCTCTCTCTTATGATTTATTCATGAGTGTTAGAGCTGAAAAGATTAGTGGGTAATGGCTTAGTTTGTTAATCTGCTTTTGGTAAATGATAACTTGTTGTTTAGCAAAAACAACAAACCTTTTCTGCTTACAGCTTTTCAAGTTGCTTGTTTGAATTGTGTCCAACATGTCTTCTGGATTTGGACTTATCAGACGAAACGAGCACTTTCATGACCCGCCCTTGGCTTTAAGGAAAACATTAAATAGCAACCACTTTCTACATTGTATTGACCAAAGGATGCATTCATTCGATTCGGATCGTTACAACTACAAAGTGATCAGTAGCACTTGAATTGGTTAAATAATCTTGTCATGATAAATGGCTGAATTCATGCACCATCACTACACATTGCTCCAAAAACAGCTTTAGCTCAGACTCTATGAACTCAAGGACCTCTTCACAACCTTGAGTTTATGTTCAGTCTCGTGTTAGTACGTCACTTAAAGTCTCCATTGCTGGCTTACAGCCACTGAAGTCTGGGTTGCTGTTTGTGAAGGTTGTCCCGCAGCAGAGGGAAACACCAGGCTCAATGTCCTGATTATCTGTTGTTTTTGAACTAAACGCATAGATTTCAGTAAAGTTGTGGCCTTAAATGTCTGATTCTCTGTATTAAAACAATGGTGCATGACATTTGTTGTTATGCAAGCTGATGCGTGCTTTAAATGGCTTTTTCTGGATTGCTTTTATGAGATTAAGAGGTCATGGTTGTCCACTCAACCAGAGTAAAACTGAATATTTTGGGTCTTAAAGTAACACTAATGCTTGCAACGCTATTCGTCTAAGTAACTCTGCA